CATACTGGCAGTTGGAGCAGCCAGCTTCTGGATTCTGGACGCTTCAGACGCTCCAAAACCTCGCACTTGCTAGACTGTGGGCTCTGGGCTCTGGCGCGCCAAATCCTTTTTTCCATGGGCCTGGCTTGCGCAAGACAAGCATACTCGGGATCCTCCGCGCGTGCGCAGCCATGCTGTCGGCGCAAACCCGGCCTTCGCTTTGCGATGGCCGCACTGTGCGCACACCTTCGTCTCTTCGCATGTCTGACAAACACGGTAATTGCTTCCACATGTAGCAGGCCATGCATTGTCAAGGCTGCATCATCACCCCGTGACGTTGCAAACGCTCTTTGCCGCGTCCGTGCGTTTCCATCGCCCAGGCGTGTATCCGGCCGCAGGCTTCTGCTCTTTGCATTCGGCACACTGCCGTTCTTCGCGATACTTGGCCCGCAACCCCGCCCAATCCATGGTTTCTCCTCTCCAGAAGCGAAGCAGCAGGTCTCGCCCCAGCTTCGCTCCTTTTTGGAAAGGCGCCGCGTCGAAGGGGCGGTAAATAGACAAACTTTGCCGGTCCCGCACGCGGGTAATCGCAATGTATACTGTCAAGGGGTCTCCCTGTCTGCACTCTGCACCCGTTTCAGGTGACCCTGTGAAGAATCTCTCTGGATGATCCCAGGCATGATACATTTCCGGGATGTGGTTGTTTTTTGTTGTTTGGTATATGAACATCTACACAGATTTTCATATATTATCTTGGTATATCTTGGTACATGTTCTTATCCGATGCCAATAAGAATCACAATTGACATGTAAGGGGCCGGACATCCACCAACACGTTTGCCACGCTGCTCCAGTGTGTCGGGGTCGGCGGCACCCGGGCGCTAGCACATTCTATAAAGTACCATCAATCACTATTGCCTTGCCATTTTCATCTTGTCGTTTTCTGATGCGTTTGTTCACCGCGTCAACTTTTACTAAACTGCTTATGGGGGCACAACTTCAAGTACTTGTCTGGTACATTCAGCAAAGTGGCGGCGTAAACATATTTGATGCCATGTGGTGACCAAGGTGACCAGTGCAAAATCCTGCTTGCGCATGGTGTGCTTGCTAAAGAATCAGAATCCCCATGGAATCTGGAATCTATTGAAATCTGAAAGCAAGCATCTGCTGTCCTTCCCTCAATAAAAGGAGTGAGCAACATAGCAAGGCCTTCCAATGACATTCAGCCCCACGAAAGCATCAAACGTCATCAAGATCATCAAGTAAGCGCTGGACCAGCAGCAGTCTGCATCCTGGACATTGCCAGAGCAAGCTCACTGCTCGAGCACACCTGGGGTCTGGCTTAGACCAAGTGCAAGATGTGGCATTCCAGAAACGACTGTGCTGCAAAAGCGCATCTGCCACAGCGGCGGTGCACATTACAGTGTTCGAAAATGTTGTCAAGATCCTGAGTTCCATCTGATCACTTTCGACCACTTTGCTGCCCTAGTACAGCACTTCAAAGGGCTTCTTGACAGCTAGTGGCAATTGAACTGTTGAAACCAATACGTGGCCGGCTGCGCCAACAATAAGCCAAGACTCAACCGCAGGACGCGGCAAACTGCTATCAAAGGTCGATTGAGCGGATTCAAAACAACGAGAAAGCCAAGAATAATGTTGCCTTGCACAACACCAAGTGGAATAAGGCCATAAAACAAGATTGGGCGGTGTTGACTATAGAACTGGGACTTGATCCAAGAAGCACAGCGGGCCTGCCAGAAATCCAGGCTTTCTTCCTGCGTGCAGGGGGCCAGCCGCACTCAGGTGTTGTGGACAGTGAGCAGCCACCAGCATTGATCAAACAATATCAAACATAGCAAACTAAAGACTGCAAGTCTACTTGAATGCTTGCTTGCAGTCATAGCTGGCCTATACTATCAGACAGCTTTCCTCCTGCTTGATTGACCTGAGCAAATTCTAAACCAAAATCAAGGACTTGTGAGAAACTTCAAGCTGTTAGCAGCTCTGTCGCATCATGATTCTCCGCCCAGCGGCGATCAAGCTCAGCAAGCCAGCTATGCCCGATGTATTACCAAGAATTCGGGTGGCCATTGCAGCATCCTGGCCGCGGCACTGCATCAATTCTGAAGAGCGTCTACGCATTGTGTGCACACGAACCAGCCAATGTGACACTAGTTAGTCTAATTAATGGCCACATGTGCTTGGCCCAAACAACGATTGACAATGATTGAAAAACACCAAATCTAAAGCAAGCCCCTTCAAGTCTTTGATGCTAGATGCTAGCCCCTAGATTTGGCTTGTCACAGAACGTTGTTCTTTGGAGGTCCGGATCTCCTTATTGCAAAGGCTCAGGAAAAGCCGTGGCTCAGACTGCGCAAAAATAAAGTGCTGGCAAACCTGAGCATGTTGGCCTCTCTTTGGGCCATCAACATGCTTTCTCCATGCATGCCGCAGAGTGAGGTTGATTCCAAGATCGACGGCAAAGCTAATAGCACGGATGGTAGAAAGACAGCAGCACAAGTCGGGGTTGGTCAGCGCATAACGACAACGGTGCGAATTGTCATTTTGCAGCCGGGATACACTGAAGAAGGAAGAGATGCAAATCCTGGAGGCAAGCGATCTCTTTGGCTTCTGCTAGTCTGCTATGGTGATTGTGACCCGGCTCTTGGACTCGCAGCAGCTCCACAATCAAAACAGCAAACGTGTCAAGGGAGGCTAGCTCCTCCGAACCACCTTCTGCCGTCTCCTCGCAGCATCCTGCAGCAGGAAAGCGAACGTTGTGAAACATTGACCCCCTTGTCTAACCTTCAGCAAGCCCACGCCCTCAATCCAGCAAGCTTCCTAGCACCAGCGGAAATCCTGCCAAGAAAAACATGCTACATATAATATACAAAGCAAACTTCTTCATTTACATGGACTAGGAGAGGCATAGAAGAGGCAAACAACATATTGTCAAGGGATTGTCCTATGTTTGTCCAGATGTTGATAGATGTTGTTGCCCTAGTAGAGAGCGAGAGGAACAAAAACAACCATAACATTACTCTCTTCTACTCCTTGCCCTCACATGCCCACTTGTTCCCAGGGCTTGCTTGGGTTGCATTTGTGGTTGATTGAAAGAAACTGTTACAATCGGTTACAATTCCTGCGTGCATTTCGGAGTTGTCTTCTCGGCCTGGAACGAAACTTTATAAGTTGGGCAGCGTTGGCGGGCCTGTAATCATTGAGACAAACACCACCAGTGAGCTCTGCAAAAAAGGTGTTCGATTTTGAAGCTCTTGAAGCTCCACTCAATCTAGGGGGCAACCGCCTCCAACCCCTCCAATCCATGAGAATGAGAATGCCTTGACCCTTCCCCCTTGCGGCAGCTACACGCACGGGGCCATGCAGCTCCTTCTCGGACTTGGGCTGCTCTGCCATCAAAGTCCAATCTTTTAGTGTCGACACTTGCTGATTGGAGTTCTTGACAATTCGCCTGCAAGAAGTCTTCTTCCAACCTTAATGCAACCTGTCTCCCCTTTGGGTGATGAGCTATCGCATTGCAGTTGAGCACACAGCGGCGCGGAATGTGAGAGGACCTCTTGTCTTCAGCAAAGCGGCAAGAACATCAAGAAGGATCTATATATATTTGTGAAATTGCTGATGGCATTTCAAGCCACTTGTCAGTATGTGTGTTTCATATGTTTCATGATGTGGCCGACATGGCCCAAATATCCCCTTCCACCACTAGCGGTGGGTGATCGATCCTCGACGCCAATGGCCCCGTGAAAAGGGCGCGACTTCGAGAGCCGCCCGACTACAGTTCGTGTTCGGAAACTTCGTGCGTTTCGAGCTCCACTCGGTCCTGTGCTCCCCGCAACCAGTGTCCGAGTGACATTGGTAGCGGAGCTACCTCGCTCCGGGTAGCTCCCTGCCGATCTCCGCAAAACTACATCATATCCACCTCCAAAGCCCACTTCACCTTCCACGGAAACTGCACCCACAACTTTGTCATCTTCTTCACGCTCAGGAGCAGTGCTTACGCCAGAGCTCTTTGACCTTGCTGAGCTCTACCGCACTTGCTCTCACCAGAGCTCTTTGTCCTTGAAGAGCCCTACCTCTCTTGCTGGCAAACCGAGCTCTTTGACCTTGACAAGCTCTACAGCACTTGTGGTGACACCTCCTTCAACCTGAAGTATGGCTTCTACCACGACCACTGAAAAGAAGGTCGAGTTCGACAACCACTCGGCCCGGGACAGTTTCATCCCGCTCTTCGATGGATCCCTTACGGGATACCGGGAATGGCGGAAAAGAATTTTGATCTACTACAGGAAAATGTCCCTGTCAAAACGGCAGGGCGAAGCGATCTTGAACCTGCTGGGCAGCCTCTCAGGTACTGCATGGAAGTTGTGCGAAGACTTCAACCTGGATAAGGCAGAAGACCCAGAAGCCCTTCAAGAGATTCTGAAGATCTTGGACGGCTCTTTCCAGTATGACGCCAATGTCGAGATGCCTGCCGACTTCTCGTCCTACTTTGAGCATTTGGCTCGCAAGCCAGGTCAGACATTGCTGAACTATGTGACGGACCACGACGACCGGCTGAAGCAAATCGAGAAGCATGGTGTTCGACTACCCAGTCAAATCCAAGGGTGGTTCCTTCTGGCTAAGGCCGCCCTGACACGTGAGCAAAATAAAGCAGATGATCATGACACAGGCCGCTTCACTTGAACGAGCCAAGATCCAGCAAGCGATGTTTGCCATCCTCGGCCAGGACTACAAGGGTGGCGGGCAGCTCCTCAGAGACTGCTGGAACCGTGCTGGATCCGGCAAAGGTCGCTCCTACTTTGCTGGTGATGACTCCGAAGCTTTCTTCGAATGGGATGACAATGCCCCGACCTATGAGGAGGAAGATGATGCCTACTACATGGACGATGAAGAGAACTATGATGACCTGTGGTGGGAGTCCTTCGACGCCGACGCCGCCTACTACCAGGAAGAACCTGATGAGCACGAGCATGAGTTCGACACCGAAGAGTACGATGAAGCTTATGCTTCATACGTTGATGCTCGCAAACGCTTCAATGACCTGAAGCTCAGCAGAGGATTCCTTCCAGTGGTAGCTCTCCAGGACTCTGGCCTTTCATCGAGTTCTACCTCCTCGCAAAAGCCCTTCAAGGGCATGGGAAAAGGGAAGAAAGGAAAAGGCAAAGGAAAAGGAACAAGCAGCACCTATCGCTATGACTGACCTCCTGGAAAGCCTGCAGATCCTAAAGGACGAGCTCGTGCAGCAATGGCCCCAGCATGTATGCGATGTGGCTCAACCTCACACAAGACAGCTCAATGCACACAAACGAGCTCTACGCCTAAACCGGCGACTACGACAAGCGGCAAGCGCCAAGCAGTTGAAGGGATGGCCATTATGCAAGACGAAACGTCCCTGGTCATGCTTGAAGACTCCTTTGGCCATGAACGCCCGGACTGCGCTATGTTGGACCCTGGCGCCTCTTCGTTCTTGATGGGATCAGGTCCCTTGGTCCGCTATGTCAACCACCTCCGGCAATTGGGCTATGACACCAACAAGCTCCAACTGCAGCGCTGCCATCGAGTGTTTCATTTCGGTGGCGACCACCAGAAGGTCAGCTCTTGGGTAGCCAAAGTGCGAGTCTAACTGAATGGACAACATGGACTGATCCAAGGCTTCGTCTTGTCCGGCGAAACTCCTATGCTGGTTGGAAGACCCGTGATCCGTGCCTTGGACATGACCATCGACTTCTCCCAGCAGAAGGTCAAGTTTGGTGATGCTGACTGGCAAGATGCCGTTCTCGGTCGCCACGAGGAATACCTCCTTGATCTCACGTCCTCGTTTGAGTCCGAGCAGCTGACGTGGGAACCTTCCTTTGACCTTCAGCTTGATGAGAAGCTGGGCGACCCCGGTTCCTTGGAAGACTTCTTGATGGAAGAGCACCTCTACCAAGTTGAAGAACTGATGCCACCAGAGGACACGTCTCTCATGACCACCAAGCACTGGAAGACCTTGGTCATGCACACCCAAGCTCAGCTGAAGTCTATGAACACCTTGGTTGATCAGGCCATCAAACAGGAACATCAAGCTCCTCCTCGTGTCCTATGGGAAGTCTACACCGGAAGAGCTCGACTGTCGCAGATGGCTGAAGCAATTGGCATGACCGTCAAAACGTTCGGCTTTGAGACAGGATGGAACTTCGCGCTTCAGTCGCACCAGCGCGCCTTCCTGGAACTACAAGACCAAGAAATGCCGGACGAGATCTACTTGTCTCCCAGTTGCGGTCCATGGTCACGCATGCAGAACATCTCTGCCACCTCCGAGCAGAGAAAAGAAGTACTTCGAGGTCTTCGAGAATGGCACCACAGGACCCACCTCCAGTTCTGCAAGCGGGTATATCTGAAGCAGCTGAACTCAGGACGACATGGACACATTGAGCAGCCAACCTCAGCATTGTCTTGGGACACCGCAGCGCTTCACTCCTTGCCTGGCTATCGAGCACGACATCATCAATGTCAATATGGCGCCATGTGCATGGATGTTGATGGAGCGTGGAAGCCAGCAAGAAAAGACACCACCATCCTCACGACCAAGCGCTCCGTTGCAGAGACGATGAACCGGCTATGCTCAGGTGATCATGAACATTGTAGACATGAAGGCTACATGAAGGGACATGGTACACATCGAACCTCGTTCATGGAGGAGTACCAGCCCGCCTTTGCATCCACACTGGCTACTTCATTGGCCTGTTCCGAGAAGCCTCAACTCTGGGAAGGCTCCTTCGCGGTTCGTGAGCAGTCGCAATACCTGGGCAAGATCGTTGATCTTCATGCAGAAGGCAAGCAGAATGCTTTACGAGTTGTTCAGAAGCTCCAAGCCCTGGTCGACCTCCTCCAAGCCAGAGGCGCTTCGACTGATGTTTTGTCCGTGGCTGAGAACTACCTCTGCAGTTCATGCTTGCGCTACAAGAAACCAAATCAACCTGCACCAGCCAACGTGCAGAAGGCCGACCGCTTCAATCAGTCCATCCAAGCTGATGTCTTCTGGATCCGCGCCGACAAGAAGAAATGGCCGATCATGGCCATCTTGGACAGTGCTACAAAGTACCAGGTAGCATGTCAGGTCCAGACTGAGCAGACCCAGGACTATATCATCTCCCTTGAGCGACATTGGATTGCTCATTTCGGTGTTCCAGAAGAGTTGGTGACTGATGAAGGTCGCGGCTGGCTTAGCAATGAGTTCATGGAATGGTCCGACAGCCACAGCATCAGCCACAAAGTTGCTCCTGGTGAAGCCCACGAACGACTTGGTCAAGTTGAACGACGACATGCTGTCTTGCGAAAGGCCATCGAGGTAGGTCTGCATGCACGACCTGAAGTTGGAAGGAAGAGAAGGCATTCGTCAGGCCCTGACCTACATCCTGCCTCAACTCAATGCTCAGCCCACAGTTGCTGGATTCTCGCCAACTCAATGGGTCCTCGGCTACCAACCTGCTCAACCTGGTCTACTGCAGTCCAGTTCTTGCGCCTTGCATGAACACGAGACCTTCGAGAAGCATTTGCACCAGCGCAACGTGGCCAAGACTGCAATCCTCCAGGCAGAGAGTGATCGAAAGCTGAGGCGAGCTCTCCTTCGACGCTACTCTGGCGTCAATCAACGACTGCTAGCTGGCCAAAGATGCTTCTACTGGCGAGATGCTCAACAACATGAGTTGTGCGAGATTCGATGGCGTGGACCTGCAAAGGTTGTCTGTGTCGAGGAAAAAGACGGCAGCCCTCATGTCTATTGGTTGGCCCACAAAACCCAACTCATTCGTGCTGCACCACATCACGTTCGACCAGACTTCACTGCCATCGAGGAGACCGCTGTCGAGAATTTGAAGGACGCTGCATCCACGCTCCAGTCATTGAAGTCAAGAGGCGTGACCAGATTCCTTGATCTGAACAGGGCCAACAAGCAAGACCTATTAGATGTTGAAGAACACGAAGAAGAAATGTCTCCTCATGAGGGCCCAGAACACAAACGCCGCCGACTAGATGCAGCAATCGATGACTCCTTGGAGGATTACACTCCCTCAGAGCCAGCGGAACCTACTGATGAAGTTGACACACCTGGAAATCCATCCTTTCCAGCCGCTGCTCCCGTCGCCTCCACGGCTCCTGAATCTCCAGAACGTCCAGCAATACCAGAACACCTTTTACCGGCTGTTCCTGAACACCTGGATGAGATGTCCGATCAGCCGGAACCTTCGATTGAGCCTGAGCCTCCAAGTGCCCCGACAAGCAGGAAACCCTGTCCTTTGGTCCAAGACGACCACGGCATCATGAGCAACCAAGCCCATATGCAAAGCCTCCTCACGAAACTGGTGAGATGGTGTTTGAAGTCCAGGACATTGACACAGCCACTCTCCCTCATGGCTGGACCTTCAACAAGAACCAACAATTCCCTGGAGCTCAAGCAAAAGTTGGCTGACTTCTGGGAAGTCAAGGGAATGCCTCATTCGCCATCATGTACGACCACGGTCAAAGAAGTTTCTTCCAGGCGATCAGGCTGATCTTCCAGTGCCCTTGGAGAAACTTGATGATGTCAGAGTCACCATCTTTCGTGAGCCAGGACAAGAACCTTCGGCGACCACCGACCACTTCAAGACCGAGAACGTGTTCAAGAAACACTCCAAAGAAGCCGCCAAAGGCCTACCTTCAAAGTGGGTTGGATGCACCATCTTCCAGATCAATGCCGTGACTCGCAAGGAACTTGGAATGACTGCAACCTTGTCTTCAAGCTCTCCCACTTCCATGAAGCCCATCCGAAAGGCCGCTCAGCACATGAAGAACCAGCAGCTCCGACACATCAAGAAAGAGAAAAGCAAGAGAAAAGAACCTCACACAAGCAGAACAACAGCTGTTCTTTGAGGCCAAGTGCAAAGAGCTTCGCAGCTTCTTCGAATGTGGCGTCTGGGAATTCACTACCTCAGACAAGGCTGATGCAGATCGAACCCTGTCAAGCCGAATGCTGCTGAAATGGGCGAAGAACCCTGATGGCACTCCCAGGGCTAAGGCCCGACTGGTTGTTCGTGGCTACAATGATGCTGACGCCTTAGCTGGCAACTTGGACACCCAATCGCCTACGGCATCCAGATTGGCTCGCAACTTGCTGCTCTCCATCTCTGCCATGTTGAGATGGAGCGGATGGTCCGCTGATGTGGCCACGACATTTCTTCAAGGACTACCTCAACAGAGGCAGCTATGGCTTCGACTTCCAAATGATTGCCTCCACATCCTCGGTTGCGGTCCTGAAACCCGCATGGCCTTGATCAAGCCTGTCTACGGCCAGTTGGACGCTCCTCGTCGTTGGTGGCAAGAAGCCACGAGAAGGCTGACACAGGAAGGGTGGACACCACATGACCTTGATCCATGTCTTTTTGTACTTCATCATCACCATGAAGATGGTTCCTCCGTTCCTTGTGGCATGATAGCACTCCATGTGGACGACATGCTTGGAGCTGGTGATCGCAGTTGTTCCACCTACATCGCAGCTGAACGACGCCTGAAGGAAGTTTTTGAGTTTAGAAGTTGGCAAGAAGACCATGAATCCATGGAGTACTGCGGCGTGATCCACAACCGCAAAGACTACACCTGGAACCTGTCACAAAGCCACTTCCTGCAAAAGGTGAAACCTGTAACTGTTCATCGAGGACGCGGCCCTGAAGACCCGATGAATGAACATGATCGAGGAGCTACGAGCCCTCCTCGGAAGCTTGCAGTGGCCCTCGGTCCAGTCACAACCACACCTACAGGCTAGCTGCAGTTTGATCAGTGGACAACAGCGCACTGGGAAACTTCGTGCAATCATGGAAGTAAATGCCCTCCTCAAGTTCGCCAAGGAACAAGCTGATGTGACCTTGAAGTATGAACCTTTTGAGTCTGTCAGCAACCACTCCGACCTCTCAAAGATCCGCCTGGTGGTGATGTTTGACGCATCTCATGCAGCTCTACACTCTCAAGGAGGACACCTGGCTATCCTGGTCCCTGAAGAGGTCTTTGAAAAGGAGACCCCATACCATGTGGTTGATTGGCGCAGCTACAAACTGCCCCGAGTCGCACGTTCCAGTTTGAGTGCAGAGGCTCAAGCAGCTGGTGGCGCCAGTGACAGTGCAGAATACATCTGCAGGTTCTGGTCAATCATTTTTGACCCAAAACCCAAGCTTCGTGAACGACTACAAGAAGGTTCAGCTCTACGACCTACCTTGGTCACCGATGCAAAAGCTCTCTATGATGCATGGCATAAAGAGACCACCACTTCCGCAAGTTCTTCAGTGGACAAGCGCACCTACCTCGAGATCAAGGTGGCCAAGCAGCAGACAACTGACCTTGAATTGAAGGTTGTCTCAAATGGGTCAGCAGCGAAGGACAATTCGCTGATGGTTTGACAAAGAGCTCTACAAGAAGCCTGTTGGCTGATCGCTTGAGGCGACACCGCATCAAGCTGGCCTGGGATCCTCAGTACACCTCGGCCAAGAAAAAGAGCAAACAAGAACGTGAAGAAAGTCGGCAAGAGTTCGCCGATGCAAAAGTGAAGAAGAAGACCAACATAAAACAACACAAACCACAACAACACCACTTCAACTCCACCGAACACCTTGAAAGTGTGCAGGAAGAACCGAGCTATGAGGATGAGAATGTCTTGCAGGATGAAGCCGCCGACACTGGACCTACATCATGGCCGAGTTCCAAGCCCTTGAGAACCCCAACGGCAATGATGATCTACTTCACACAGATCAAGGCTGTTACGGCAGAGCCCACAGGTGACTTCACGCAGTTGAAGCCAGATGGTCTTTGTTTGGCTGGCGATGAGCCTGCTGAGGAATGGTCCATTTTGACCTACATGTTCCTCTTCATCCTCTTCATCACCCTCATTGTGAGCTACCTGACCTACAAGCTGGGCAGATTTCATGAACACCGCCGACAGGTGAACGATGAAGGTCAAGTTGAGGGTGGCTCAAGCTCGAAATGAGCGACACTTTGACAGCGCGTTGGATGACCAATGCCTGTTCTTCGATCGCCGCATCTCCCAGCTGGAAAACGATTTGGTGAAAGCTGCTGAGGCCAATGCGGAAACCCACAGGCATCACAACGAGATGATGGAGCAATGGCGCCTAGAACAGCAAGAAGCCGAAGAAATCGACCAGTCCTTTCGACAACGTCAGGCTTTGCCGTCGCGCTGCTACCGGGAACTCCTGGACCATTTTGATGAAGATTGCCCTCTCACCACGGGCACCCATGTGACGCCCTTCGGTCACACCTTCCACGTCCGAGCTGATTGCCACGGCCTGAAGCAGGCTCACAGAGTTGATCGACGTCCTTGTTGCGCTTTTTGCAACCCTACTCCTCAGACTCCTCACCGAGTCAATGGCTTGAGCGGCACCACACTCCAGGAAGACATGATGTCCTGGAGGCGCGACTATGGCAACCTGCCATACGAGGAGTGGATGATCGACTGAGAGTCCAGCTGATGAGTTTTTTTGTTTCAAGCACCTTTTACCGGTGTGAAATTGCTGATGGCATTTCAAGCCACTTGTCAGTATGTGTGTTTCATATGTTTCATGATGTGGCCGACATGGCCCAAATATCCCCTTCCACCACTCGCGGTGGGTGATCGATCCTCGACGCCAATGGCCCCGTGAAAAGGGCGCGACTTCGAGAGCCGCCCGACTACAGTTCGTGTTCGGAAACTTCGTGCGTTTCGAGCTCCACTCGGTCCTGTGCTCCCCGCAACCAGTGTCCGAGTGACAATATTATTTTTTTGGATCTATAGACTATAGAAGGGACACAAAACTGCAAACATGCAAACAAACAAACTGTTTTGACCCATTCGCACTCTTGCGGCTAGCTGAATCTGTTTGAGCGATTGAGATTCCGTCGCAGTCTCACTGTCCAATACCGAAGCCACAAAGGCTAGACTGCAACTTTTGAGACCTGCACATTAGATGTTGTTAAAATGTGTTCGCATATCATTGAGGGGCCTGAGCAGGTTGTTACCTGCATCTGGAAGTGCTTGTTGTTCACTTGTGACTTTTGACTGATGCACCAAAAATAGCCGATCCACAGAACATGTCCGGCATTGTCCAACAACTGAACATCGAGCACTTTGGCTTGACATTGGCCAAGCATGGGTGAACTTCTTGCACCGCAAATAGATCTTAGCTGTTTGAGCTACGTACCTTGGGCTTCATACATACTTTTGGACAAGTTTCTCTGACAAAGCCCAGAGTGTTTCCTCCAGTTCCTTTGTTGAGAACTTGGGAGGATCCCTATGAAGTGCTTGTGGTCGGAAATACCTCAACTCACCCAGAATCAAGCAGCTTACTTGGTGCACTGTCCGTATGTACATTCAATGTCACGTGTTTGTTTAACTTTGCTAGTGAGAGTTGGTAAGGGGTCCCTTTAAGGGCAATTGAGGCCAAGACCTGGAGCCTTTGACCTTTACGGAGAAAGCGTTCTTGGCATTCTCGTGCATCCGGGGCAAGCATATTCTCAAACTCCTTTGTTTAGTTCTATATACTTCTTTTCTCTAGACTCCAGACTCTAGACCTTTGTGTCTGTATATGAATACTAAAATCAATGCCTGTCCGTCTTCCTTCCTTTGGCAAGGTGCTGCCCCCGGATGTTCTTGCTCTCGATATCTGGGGACGTTGCTAGGTATAGCTGAGTCACGGCACCTTGGCTGTGAAGAAGCTGATCTGAAACGTGAACCACCCGAAGAAAAACCACCAGCTACCTGACCTTCGTCATGCTTTATTGCTCTCTGTCTTTGACTCTTCCCCTCTCTAAGACCGGTGACTAGTGACTGAATGTGACTGAATGATACAGGATGTTTGTCCTGATTACTCTGACTAACTGTCTAGCACCTCGGGGAGATGTCATTAACACGCTCTCCTGCAGAATGTTGAAGGCAATGTTCCTTGCAAGGGAGGGCTGACGCCATTTGCACAAGAAGCTCGGAGGAAGGTGATACTGTTGATTGCAAGAATCAAGTCCAAACATCCAACGATTTCTTTCCTGTCAAGCCTCATCATTTCCCCCCAACTTGCCACGGAGTGCTTTTGCACCTTAGTTCAGCAGCCCAATTGTGCGTACATTGGTGTAACAACACTACACAATCATTGCAATCCGAGTCATTCAAGCAAACCAAAAGCAACATCTACTGCCAATACTCAAAGTCAACAGTCTGGATGACTGCACTGCAAGCAAGTCGAGCATTGCCTGAGCTTTTCGCGTGTCTTGCCAGATTTGTATGGATGCCCCCCGGGTGGCAGACGTTGGCATAAACCTTTTTGTCTTCCAGCCGCCGGGCCAAAGCTCGTGTGAAGAGAACGTTGGCAAGCTTGGAACGCCCATAAGCTTTAAAGGGGCTGTAGACAGCCTTAGGCACAATAGGACTCAGTAGGCAGGTTCATGCAGGTTCACTGTGATTCCGCAAATCCACCAGTCCAATCGTCGCAGAAATGAATCATCGGGATTGCTGTTCCAAGCCGTTGGTTCAAGTTCTGTGAGAACAATTGAGAAAATGGCTGGCCTCGTAGTCGGCTCCAAGTCTGTCAAAGTCCACGGCTGGCGCTGCGTCAACCAGGCCAGTAAATCTGCAAGAGGGATTGCATTCTCATGGCACAGAAAATGCAGTGGCAAGAGGCCGTACAAAGTATTGTCATGCTCGTCTGCATCACTGACGTGCAGCTGAAGTCCAAACAAGGATAGGCCAAATCTGTGAGAAAAGCGAACCCAAATACATCCAAACAAGTTGCAAAAATATATTCAGGTCAGAACAAACTCAAAATGTCCCGGCCCCTTTGTCCCATCTCATCTTCAAATACCTGATCCCCACCATATCCAAGGCAACAACAAGGGGAATGAAGGGGCTGACCAGCAAACAACTAGCAACTGCATTATTGTAAGAAACAACAAGTGCTCCCTGTGTATGCTCTGAGCTGCTGGATTAACAGAAAGTCTTGAGGCCCATGGCCTACTTGAAGCAGCCGAGCATTTCAATGCTTTTCAGAGTTTCCGGGATGAAGGCTGCGGCAGAGCTCACAGTGACTATGCGAGAAGGTGCTGATGCCTGCAAACATGGGACAATGATGCACAACATGCAAAACGATGCAAAAAGGTTAGCTTTCACACGCACAAATAAACAGTAGCACAACATCCTTTTGCCCAACTGCCTCCAAATGTGGCAGAAGCAGCTTGGTCAGCAGAAAATGCCCAATGTGGTTAGTGCCAAACTGGCTTTCAAGACCATCGACGGTGAGTGTGAAGGGATTGGCCATCACCCCAGCATTGTTGAGCAAAATATGCCTGAGCATTGAGATCCATTGCGAAGGATGCATTTTCTGACAAACTATTACGACGCGCATACATGGGCATACAAAGTAACAGTAACATTTCCGTGGTACAAAGGCAAATTCCTGGCTCCAAATTGGTCTGCAAAGTCTTTGACGCTCTGCAAGCTGCCCAAATCAAGTTTCATGAACTCGGCCTCCAAGCTACCACGCTGTCGCAACAAATGCATGAAATGGGACAAACACAGAGTATCACATAGTGTCCCATATCCGTATGAGTTTATGAGTCTAGCACAGCATTCTCGGGTATACGCACAATATCAAATGTACGGTACTTTGTAGATAGGCGGGCTATTCTTGGAGACTGAAGTAGTACTGGTCTCCTTCCCCGCCCTCTGTACTAGCAGGATGCTACCCAAAAAACACCCCAAGTCTCAAGAATCAGCTCTTTCTCGACACAGCGCACTGCCAAGTGAATTGGATCCATGGGAGTAGCGTCACGGATGTGTGTGCGGTCCTTTTCTTGAGCCAAACGTTGTGGCGGTTTTTCGCCAAGTTGGTTGTGGGTCTCACGTGGTCCATGCGCTCTTGCCGACTCACGCTCCCCTTGCGATCTATGTCGCAACACGAAATCGGTCCTTGACCAAGAAAAAGCTGAATCCGCACCATTTGCCGTGCAGATTTGGCAAACCATCCTTGTGCCATTCGGCATCTACATAGATTAGCCGCTCAGAAAGCTTCATGGTGTTCTGGTTGAGCAGCCAAGCCACCGTCACCCTGAGGTACTCGAGATCCCTCATGTCTTCAGGAGTTGATCGATGCTCCGGGTGAAATCTCTGTACCCTCAAACTGTGCCGTCGGACCATCCACGTTTCCAGCGGCAGGCGAAGATAATCCCAAGCGTCCGTCCTTGGAACTGGTCGAAACCTCGTGGCTTCTTCATCCACCAGTCGCTGCACCTTGTCAAAGAGCTCCTGGTTCCACCAAAGCGATGGCTGAATCACCAAGGTGTCTCCCTCGTCTCCTACAGGTGGAACCAGCCGAGGCACCGGAGGCCAATGCGGCCGATCCCATGGTGAAGGATAAGCTCGGTGTGGGTCATCTTGAGGCCCTTCTGATGGATGCGGAAGAGGTCCAGGTTTTGGTGCCACCACCCAAGGAGGATATTCTTCTGGCCACGCCGATCCCACTCGAGCAGGTCGCTTGGACACCTCCTGGCCTGAGCACGAAGACGAACCCTTGGATGTAGTCCCCATAGCCGCTGCCCCCCGCGCCGCTGCTTTGCCCCCAGAGTCGCCCATCGGCCCCGGTGGCGGGCTTTTCCGTGGATAATACCCGGACTTCAAGCCCTCGATGGTTTCATTGACATGTTGCACATACTTCGGCAGCACAGGTGGAGGTTTCGGCCATGGACCAGACACCCCTTGCACATACTTCGGCAGCACCGGCGGAGACTTCACGGGCGGGCTTTCTTCCCGGACCGTTTTCGATCCCCTTTGCTGTCCAGTCGTTGTCGACGAAGAAGACGATGTAGCCCCACCCGGGTAGCCGGACTCCTCAACCTCGCTAGCCCGGCCAAAGCGCAGCTGCAGCCTTCCCCAAATGCCATGGCGAGCGCTCGCGGCTTCGAGTTCTACGATATTGGGAGCCTCTAGGCTACCGTTAGGGTCTTCCCACTTTTGAGACATCGAAGTCTCCGACCCTGGCGTGCGGCCCGACGCCTCTTCATTTCTGGCCTCTTGTTCTTTTCTTGGACTTTCTTCTTTTTCTTTTTCTTTTTCTTCTTGTTGTGACCTTTCTTGGTCTTTTTGTTCCCTTGCAAGCCCCGCTCGCAGGGTACACAACTTGGGTCGGGTCGCCACTCGGGATTCTCCCCCGGAACTGCTATTGTTGTACTGATTCTGGAAAACACGTGGTTTTGAATCCCCGGCGTTGACCCTCTTCCTACCAAAAACCCTAATCGCTTCAGCTGCTAAAGCCACGCTCAGAGAAGCCACCACCGCCACCTTGACGATTTGACTCGGCCACCCAGAGAAGGCGGCGCAGCTGGCTAGGCATAGAGCGACCTTAGCCAATCGCACTCCACCATCATTCTCGCCCTCCGGAACCTCAGCCTCCTGGTCGATGTCATTCTCCCCCAGGTCCACCATGCGAATGAACTTCCGGAAGCGTTGCCATGCTGTCTTCACGGCAATGGCCTTGGTGAGGAAGTCCGCAATCAACTTCGTCCCCTCCAAGTGGTAGATCTGCCAAGTTCCCAGCCGTGATCTTTCCCTCAAGGCGTGTGAACGCAATCGCAGATGGCGAGTTTGCCACGGACCATCAGGTTGTCGGATGATGGCGATTGCTGCCTGGCTATCCCCATAGGTGACCACTGCCGGCGGCTCCTCCACCCCCAACACCTCAGTCATCAAGGCCTGCAAGCTGTCACCCATCACGGACGATTCGATGTAGCCTAACAACTCGGCTTCCGCCGTCGACAATGCCATACAGCTTTGCCTTGAGGATTCCCATTGAACCACTCCACCACCAACCATGGCTATAATTTAATGCCTTGAACACTTTTTTCCCCTTGTGGAGCGTAAGACACGTCGCAGTAGATCTCCACCAGGTTCATGCTGCGTTCTCGAGCCAAGGCTTGGTCGGGTCCCCGATCCTGCTCTTTGCATTTTCCATAGGCCAAGAAGCACTCGTCAGTGGCGTTCAGGTACTCCAAGATGTAGTAGCCTGTCTGCAAAGCCCAACGTGGCCTTTTCGTCACTGCCCTCCCCAGTGCCCCAATAGCGAATGCCAGATCCGGTCGACTCCGCACCGCCACCCACAAAATCTCTCCAGCAATGGCCTGAGCCTGGCGAACCTCCTCAATCTTGACGTCCTCCTCTTCCTCCACAAGGCTGTTCCTTCGGCAGCGGTGTGGACCTTTTGTTTGTGATCTTCCGGCGACGAAGTAGATCTTGTAGGTATGAGGGTTGTCCCACCAAGAGTTCCTCGCCCTGATACTTCATCTCGAAGCCACAAAAACGCACCCATTCTTCAGAATTCACCAACTCCGGCTTCGAAGTCTTCCATTCCTCTTGTATACGAGCCACCAACCCATCGTGAACAGCTTTGGCGCCCATCACCATTAGGTCGTCTACATAGACCAGCATCAGACCAACCGGAGCATCACACCCTTCCTGTAGGACCCGCCATAGGTTTCGTTCTTTTGTGGGTTGAAGCTTGTAGTTCACCCCCTCCACAACCCATTCAAACTTGTTGAACATGGCGTCCCGGTGTAGTGCCCAGAAGCTTGGTGACGTCTGGAACCCGTAGAGTGCTTTGTGGACTATCCACACTTCATTTTCCGGGCAGATGCCCAGTTGTGACATGATTTTGGGCGGAACCACCGCCACTGGAGCAGCGCCAGGAGCGGTAGGCCTTGGTGCCTGCAAAAAGGCACTTTTGACATCAAGCGCCGACATCATCCATCCTTCATGAGCAGCACGACGCACTGCGCATCTGATCAAAGTGCCGTCAGCTCCGCTGGCGTAACTTCCTGCTGGACCAGGTGCAGGGTCTGCCGTTGGTGATGTCATATTTCCGCGTATAACGGCCCGCGCGCGATGCGCGCCACTTCCTCCCTTGCGCACGCACACCATTTTGCCAGGTACTAATTCAGCATGAGGAGGAAGGCTTTCACGAGGTACAGGATGTACGGCCTGCGTGTCTTTCACGAGGACATCGTATTCATACTGAAAAGCTGGAATCCAATCTTGAGGATGTGCTCGGACTTCATGAAGAGGCACCGTGACCGTTTGCAAGACATCAGAATCCTGAACTTGGAGGCTGCATAGATGGATGCGAGTGTCCCTTTCCACTCTACCCAATTGGATCAGGTTGTCCTCCAGTTCATCCCGCCATCCCACAAACAACTCCACCTCTTGTCCTTGTTGAGCCCCTTGTGAAGCATTACGAGGAACCCCATCCACCAAGTTGGACAATTGTTCTTGTAGTCGCATGTGGTGCCACTCCCACGTCTCCTTCACGAGCTCCATGGGCAACCACCTCCCAACACCATCTTCGTCACCGTAGGGCCCTTCAGCGGGAACTCCCACTGTCATAGCCTTCACTCCCGAAGCTGATGCGGCTGTTGAGGACCTCGGGAACCTTTCTGGTGCATCCTCCCATAGTTTCGAGGTCGAACTTTTTGGCTCCTTCGATGAAGACGACGAAGAATACTCCCCCCCCGCTGAAGCCGGACCCGCAGCAGTGACCACCGCCGTAGTTTCCCCCAAGCGTGGAGTATTCCCTAAAGGCTGTTTGCCAGTCAATCTCCGGTGAGGTTGGCCAGGACGATCCTCTTCTTCTAGTTGAAGCTGCACCATGTCCCCTTGCACCCCTTGTTGAACGCGAAGCTGTTTACCTTCTTGGTTGGTTTGTACTGCTTCCCTCACATGAAGAACTCGACCATCTTGTAGTTGCACCACCCAACCGCCATTGACCAGGTGACTGGGACACAACACCCGTGCTTCCACAAACGGTGCAACAAGTCCTCCACCTTTGTGCCACTTTTTGATCTTGACCAACACCTTCCCTCGATAGGGCAACATAGGAAGGCAAGGCACCCCCAATTCCTCCAGCTGTCGACGACGACGTTCTGCCGCCACGTAGCGGATCGCGTCCGGCCATGAAGTTGCTTCGCAGCCATGTTCCGCCAGCTTGAGGCGCACTCTTCTTTTGATTTGGTGTACTTCAGATTCGGCATGTCCGTTTGAAGCCGGATCATCTCCTGCCGTAGTTGTAGGAACAATTCCATTTTTCGCACACCAAGCTGCCATCGATCGAGAGATCAACTCCTTGGCCCGGTCCGAATGTAGGCGATTGACATAGATCCCCATAGCTTTGAAGTGTGCCAACGCCTTCTGCATCGCCACCACCACTTCTTCCTTCGCCCGGGACACTATAGGTTCCACATGCACCACATGTTTCACTGGGACCTTTTTCAAGGAGTCTTGCAGTTCTTGATGAAAACGTTCTTCCTCTGGGGATTCTTCCTTCATGATGTCCAACTCCCCCGGTTCTGCATCATCCTCCTCCACAGGTGGTTGCCCCGGGTCTTCTTGAGGTTGGTCTTCATGTTGTTCTCCTTCCTGCTCTCCATTGTTTGTTTCCTTTCCTCCACCCAAATCCGGGACCAAAGCAACTGCTATCAGGGCAT